CCCCCTCTCCTTTCATGAGGGTGAGACCAGCATCACGGTCAGTCTGAAGGCTTTCCCTGCCTCCTCTTTTCTTCTCTTCCTTTATACTTCACAGTATAACTAAATATAACATAGTCCCTCACTGTCCCCCATGTAACAAGAGGTTTACTTGTCCCCCAGTAAACCTCTTCCACATAGAATCCTATTTTGGCTTCTGATTCTCAGAAGACCCCCAAATGTCACAGAAGACCTTGGAGAAGAGTCCAACACGTGGGTTGTAGAAGAGGTAGAATGGAGTCCCAGCAGCAGGTCACAGAGGTGTCTAAGGTGGGGGAGTGCAGGCCTTCAAGGACTCTGGTGAAGAAGTGCCCAGTCTTTTTGTGTCCTGTCCTCAAATGTGTGTGTGTTTCTGTGTGTGCACAGTCCCTGAGCATGTTCCCATGTTACATTGGCCATAATGTAGTGAAAAAGATCTGTTTCCATCAGACGAATATGAGCTTTTCAGTGTCTGCTCTTAGCACTGAGCCCTGAAGAGATCCTTGGGCATAGTAGATGCTCAGTCAAAAACAAACAAACAAGCAACCCCAAACCCCGAAAAACTGAGAACCACTGGGACTTGTACCCCTCTTAAGTTTTGCTTTGGACCAATTTTGTTTTCATTTCCTGGTGGTTTGAATTGCATCATGTTAGATTATTGAACCTTTTTAGCCTTTTGTTTTTGTGACAGAGTCAAATATTCACTGACACATGTACATCTTTAAGCCCATGCAGAAGGATAATAGCAGCCTTGCTTCAGAGGCCACACCTCCCAGGAAACCCTCTAGCCTGTCCCCTCGTCTTTGCTGATCCCTCTGCCATCCCCTTGCAGAAGGAGCTTGGAGTCTCTCAGCTCAGCTGGACTAGATGAATCTTCTCAGGGTCCTCTTATCCCACCCCCCAGTTCCTTCCCCCAATCTCACCCTCCCTGCTCTGTGAAATCAGGGAAGCTGCAAACCCAACCCTTACATCAAAAGGGAACTTGAAAAATACTTGGAGCAAAAACTGCTAACTGTGCATCCTTGCTCTATGCAGGCGCTGATATTAAATCAGGAAATGGCACTGAACAGCCGCTCCAAACACAGAAACAGGGCATGTCAACACAGCAACCAAAAGCAATCTCTAACGGGCAGAGGGGAAAGGGACCTGGCACAGGGCCGGGAAGGGGGCTGCAGCCCAGAAAAGAATTCCTGAGCTGAGTGTGTCTGTGCCACCTCTCCAGTGTCCCAAATGAAGCATGGGTCTCAGTCCCTGGCATGGAATGCACCCTGTCTCCATGAGGAATTAAACATAATTAAGCATGTTGCTTAAATACCTTTGAGATTCTCCTTTTTATTGCCACAAATGTTTACTGAGCACATAGTGTGTGCCTGTCAGTCCACCAAAAAAGATGCCATCCGATGTGGAGATGATCTTCTAGGCCCTCAGGACAGAACTCTAACTCTTTGGCATGGCATTCAAGACCCTTTAAGTACTGGCTCCTGCAGAAGCCTTCAGCTCTGTCTCCAGACTCCCTGAAATAGCTCCCAAGTGCACAATGCAGTGCCTTTGCTCCATACCTTTGCTTGGACCAGTCCTACCATCAGTTCTTCCTGTATTTCTGCTTTTGGCAAATTTTTGCTCAGCTTTCAAAGCCTTAACCAAGTGTCACCTTTTCTCTGCAGCATTTTCTGCCTCCCTCCCCATTTCTTCCAATAGAACCAGGGATCATTTACTTGGGATCCAGCAGCACTGTGGACATGCTGCCATCACAATACCTTCCATGTGACAATGGGAAGGTTTGCAGTGCCCTGGAGGGGAGGAAAAAAGCCATGTTCACTCCTGAACCCTCATCTCCCAGCACTGGTGATAAAATTGAAACAAAAATGAAAAGCCTTGATGAAATTCATTGTTGGTATGGCTATGGGGAAACAGATTTTCCATTTCTGATAGTAAATTAAATAGGTACCATCTTGTTAGAGGCTAATTTGACAATATTAACACAGAAAATACATCTTTCAACCCAGCAATTTTATTTTTTGCTTTCTGCACATGGGCAGAAAGGCGCATGTAAAAAGCTGTGAGTTGCAGCATTGTTTGCAATAGCAAAAGATTAGAAATAGCTTAAATGTCCATCAATACAGCTTGGATAAAAAACTGTAGGGCATCCATTGGACAGAATGCTATGCATTAGTTAAAACGAAGTAGGTCTCCACGTATTGACACAGCATTTGCTGAGTAAAAATCAAAAGCAAGCTGTAGCTCTAGACACAGATGTTAAAACTACCTTGCCGCATTTTTTCACAATTAAAAAGCAATCTTCTGTAATTTGTTTTAAAAAGAGAATGAATGACCACAGCAGCTCCTGGCTGAATGGAGCCTGGGTTTTGGCACAGCCAATCTGCATTATTTCCTCTACCACCTACCCAGATCATCTACCTCTCCTGTACCTGGGAAGTTTGCTCTCCCTGTGGTGGTGAGCATGTAGTGGGAAGCTGGGATCCCGGGCCCTTGAAGAGCATCCAGACAAAGGAGGAAGAAAGTGAAAGCAGGGAGGCCCTGAGGGTGGGATGACTCAAATCATGCAAATTTCCTGAGTTGGTCCTTGGCCTCCAGAGGAAGAAGGAAGGATTGGTTCAAGAATGACTGTTAATGAAGGGAGAGGAGGGGGCTGGAGGGTATGCAGAAAAGGCCTGAAAATTCAGAGACCTCACACTGTAAGGAAGCACCAGCCTTTGCCTAGTTGTTAATTTCATTTATTCATTCATTTATTCCACACCTGTAATTGAGTTCCTCTTGTATGGGCATTGCACTGGCTACTAAGGACACAGAGACAACTCCACCTCCTGGACACGTCCTCTGGGAGCTCATGATCAAATTCCATCTAGTTCCTCAAGGCGTGTTTCTTGGACTCCGTGTATCAGAATCACCTAGGAAATTTCTTAAAATGCAGATTCTTGGGCTCTACTCAGACCTATAAAATCAAACTGTGGCTTACAAATTTGTGTTTGTAATCCATTTCCTCAAATGTAAAACATTTGGACTAGCTGACCAAACCATTTCCTTGAACATTCCTATGTTATTTCCTAAGGCCTCTCCCAAACCTGAGGTCTGCTCTGATCCAGGCTAAAAAAGGATGGGATGGAAGTACAAGCTTTGCCCTATGACTCCAGTGTGTGGGATTTCCCTAGAATGGCAAGGACCTTGTCCTTGCTAATAGGCTTTTTACCCCACTCCCATCCCCAGTTACAATCAAGTCCTTCCAAGGCCTGGGAAGATCCATGGACCATGTCTTCTGTCTAAGTTCTTCAAAAACAAGAGATGGACTCATTGTAAGCAGGGGAATGGCATGTGCAAAGGTCCTGTGACAGAACACAGCTTGGGCTGTGGAAGAACTTAAATAAATCAGTGTGCCTGAAGCATTGTGATGAGGGATGCAGCAAGAAGAGGCAGAAGAGGGTAACAAAGCTAGACCATCCATGGCCTGAAGGCTGTGCCTAGGAATTTGGTTCTTTTTCCAAGTGTTAAAGTGTTTGTATTTAAGCCAGGCAGCTGGTGAGGGGAATGGCCAGATTCATATAAAAACTGGCTCTATTGCCCTGTGGAGAAGCAGAAAGGCTATAGCCAAAGCCTTTGCAATCCTCTAAGCAAAAGATAAGGGTGGCTTGGATGAAGGTTAAGGTACTAGAAGAAGAGCCAGAGATACCTGGTGGAAGGATAGATAGGCGACAGTTGGACTATGGGAGGTGAGAGCCTCAGCCCTGGGGAGCAATAATGAGGTTTCAGAATTTCTGCCACTGGCTCTGGGGTCATGGTGGGGGATGTAGGTGGGAAGGGAACTGTCCTTGTTAGCATTCACCGGACAGTGGCTTTGAGTAGCATTGAGCTTCTCATCAGCACTGAACCACCTCTCCCCGCTCTTTCTCTCTATCCTTTCCTTGAATATTTAGGGATGTATGAATTGGTGCTGAAGGTCAAACTCAGACCAGAGGCAGGATCAAGGATCAGAAACCAGGCTGAGGCCAAGGGTAAAGGACAGGATGAGAGGACTCTGCAAAATTGTTCTCCTTTGGCTGGTACCCCTGCCTTCATTTCTCTCCAGCCCCACACAGTCAGGGAAGAGAAAAGGGAAAGAAAAGTTTGACTGCCGCTGACAAGAAGGCACATTAAACACTGCCCTCGTAATTGAATCCTTGGTAGGGACTTGGCACTTGGTAAAGGTTCAGCCGTTACCTGAACAGAGTCACCAATTCTGTGAACAGCTGAAAATCCTGACCCTTAGAACAGCTGGGGAAGCACTGCACTGACACCAGAATTCCCAGGTAGCTACTCAGTTGAGACAGAGATCACACACTTCATAGTATTGAGAGCACTGGACTTGGGACCAGAAGTTCCAGCTCATCACTGCTGTATAAGCGTAAAGAAATCATTTAGCCTCTTGAGCCTCATTCTTTGTGTAAGATGCAGATAACCCTACTCATCTTATAGGGCAGTTGTGATGACTGAATGAGTTGAAATGCATAATGCTCTTAAGACACTGTGATATATCTGCATCCACCCTCTTATCTCCCTGCCTACCTATCTCTGTAAAATAGAGATAATAATAGTTGCTATTCACAGAGTCGGGAGAGTTGAGTGAAAAGGTGAATGACAGAGGCTGAGGTGGGTGGATGATCTGAGGTCAGGAGTTGGAGACCAGCCTGGCCAACATGGTGAAACCCCATCTCTACTGAAAATACAAAAATTAGCCAAGTGTGGCGGCATGCACCTGTAATCTTAGCTACTTGGGAGGCTGAGGCAGGAGAGTCGCTTGAACCCGGGAGGTGGAGGTTGCAGTGAGCTAGATTACACCACTGTACTTCAGTCTGCAGCCTGGGTGACAGAGTGAGACTCTATCTCAAAAAACAAAATAAAACAAACAAAAACAAACAACAACAATAACAAACAACAAAAAGGTGAATGACAAAAGGCTTTGCAACTCCCTGTACAAATGAGAGTGACTATTATCAAATATCCCATCTGTACTGGAGGCAATGCTATCCAGTGGCTATCTAATGCAGCCTTGTCTAACAGAAATAGAATGTAAGCCAAATATGTAATTTACAATTATTTATTGGTTACATTAAAACACAGTAAAAAGAAACAGTGAAATAGTTTTAATAATAAATTCCTATGGGGGGAGAGAGAGAGCTTGCTTGTGTGCACATTCCTGCATATATTGGGGCATTATCCCTGGTCCCCTGGGGAGGCAGCCAGGATCTTCAAAGTCAGTGTAACTCTGGCTTCCTATTGGGACTCTCTAAATCTCTGGGTTGCCTAAAGACCACCAAGACCCAGAAAGCCAAGAATACCTTTTTGGGAGCACTGAGTTGGAATCTGACAGTGGTTGTATGGGGCAAGGGAAAGTGGAAGTGACAGCTGCCTTTGGGAAGAGGAAGAGGAAGGACAAGAAACAAAAACAAAAATCCCCCAGAAAACCCTCCTGTCTCCTGTCGGGAGCCATAGACTTTGACAACAACTTCCCTGCAGATCCCACGGAATGGGAGCAACAGAATACCTTTCCACTGAGCCTTGCAAAAGGTGTCAGAGACCTCAGGGCTCCTTGGAAAAGACAGGTGACACTACATCGGGGTGATGGCAAAAGCGTAAGTCAGGCTCCTGCCGCCGGCGGGAGGCGGGAGGCGGGATGTCCCCTGATTCAGGATCCTCCCTGGCAGAACTCGCCTCTGGGGCCCTTGAGACCACTGGCCTCTGCTTAGCGACTCGGCATAGTACAATCCAGTAACTCACTGAGCTTTGAACTGGAAGTTTACTGCTCCCGCATCCCGCGTGCTGCTGCGCCTCTCCGCACAAACGCGCGCGCAAACACACACACACACGAACATACCCCTCCCGCACGCCTCCAACAGCACCCATGTGTGCACAGAGGCGCCTCCTCGCTCACCAACCGCCTGCAACCCGTAAGGAAAAGGCGGGTGAACGGCGCACCTTCGGGCTGAATGTGGATGCCAGGAGTGCCGCTCTGATTTGCAGGCACATGGGAGGGCGCGCTGCCGCCGGGCCTCTCTGGAGTTATCCCCTTAGCTGAGTAGAGGCCTGCGAAGGCAGCACGGCGAACCTCATACCTGGCGGCTGGCTGTGGGCCCTGCATTCCCTTAGGGAATAAACTCTTCCCCTACTTTTACCCCGAACGATCCAAGGCTCTGCGGCGGCTTGGACCCTGCAGAGTTTCCTCCATCACCATTTGTGACTAAAGAATCTTGAGGAGGTGCGACCCAGAGGCACAGCCCCTGACCCAACCTGGGGTGGGTAGAGAGGAGGTCGCTTTTGAGTGAACACCTTAAATTTGGAGTTTTAGCAGCTAGAGACAATAAGCTGTTCACTAGTGCGGCCGTGGCTGCTGCAAAATCTCCGACTTCCTTTGATTGTGCCTTAGGACTCCACACACCGCTCCGTGTCTCCTGCTCTCCCTTTACTCCTCATAGACTCATCACTTCTTCTGTTATCCCTTCTGTTTTATTCTTTCAGCGTGTTGGACTCCCAGTCAATGGGTATGCAGCAGTAATCCCCTACCCTCCTCACCTCGACCCTGCCTATGTTTTAGGGATAGGGTGAAACCTCCGGGTACTGCTGTGTATCCATGACCGGTGGCCCAGAATTCGGATTCAGAGACCCCAGAGATGAGAAGTGGCATCTCGCGATGGCAGTCGGGAGCAGGAGACCAGAGGGCTTGGGGCTCTAAGACCCCGCTGCTCAGTGCAGCAGTAACCGGGATGGGGGAGGCTGGGCCATGAAGTGGGGTAGGCTGCGCAGTAGCAGCCTTTACTCTGCGGCCACCGGCTTGTCTCCATCATTCACCCAGTCTGGCAGGGGTAGGGCTGTTTCCAACATTTTTTGGTGGGGGAGTCTGGGGGTGGGGTGTGCAGAGAAGGGAGTGGCTAAGCTGGGAGAGGGGCAGAGAAACGGATTTCGGTGGGGAGGTGAGCCTGGGGATGGACAGAGATACCTCAAAGCCCAGGCGAAGGGAGTGACCACAACAGAGACAGAGGTACAGGGACAAAGATGAGCGCACTTTCCCAGACAAAGCCCACGTCCAAGAGACCCTGAGACGGAGGCAGACTGTTGGCAGGAGAACAGGAGGTCCAGAACCGCAGACCTGGGGCCGCAGGAATCCCCAGGGCCTCAGTGGGCCACGCTCCTGAGACTCGGGTCTCAGTTCTCGACGGCGAGTGTTACGCAGAGCCAAGGGGACGCGCGGGCCAGGGTGGAGTGGGTCACAGCTAGGCTAGTCCGCCTTGGTGCCCACGCAGAGGTCCATAGTGGCAGAAACATTCTGGGAGCCAAGGGTCTCTTAGGGCCCTGAGGGAGGGTGCTGCCGGCTCTAGTTCAGTCGGAACCAACAGAGTCCGGCGTGCTTGTCCTGCCCTGGCCGCCTGAGGCCGGAGCCATACGTAGTCTGCACAGACCCGAGCGAGACACCTGGTCCTGAGTGGTCTGCAAACGTTCTCCACTGAGCCACGGTCTGAGTGTGTTCTCAATGCATGCAAACAAGACCTGGACATTTACCAAGTGCGAGTCCCCAACCCCCAGCTTCTGGCAGGTGTGGTGCAGCGGCACCGCCCAGGCTGTCCCTCCAGGCGGCCAACTCATTTCTGCGGAGAGCACGCTTCTTGAAGAGGGTTGTAGACTCACGCTTCCAGCATTTAAGTTGCCACCCCATAATACTGAGTTCAAGTTTTAGTTAAGATACACTCATTTTATTAAAAATAGGCTGCTCAAGACCACGCTGTACCCCAGCCTCTCCAAGGGCTCAAGAGAATAGAGGGTTTTCATATTAATTGGTGGCAAGTACTTTACCTTCTAACACTTAAAAATAATCTGGGCGCGTCCTCACTGGTGTGGCTCACGCGACCCCTACGCGCGGCGTCAGTCGGGCTGGTCCAGCGCAGACAGCGGCCGGGACTCACTCACCCAGTGCGCGCCTCTCCGGCCTTTCACTGCGCGCGCCCAAAACTGGAAAGCAGAAGGCGACGCGGGAGGCGGGTCGGGTCTCCGGGTCCAGCGAATTCGCAATCTATCCGGTTTCAGCGCCTGAGCCGAGGTCTCAGGAAGAACCCGTTAATGCTGGCCATCCTGAATCTGCGTAGGGAGGGTGTGCGGTGCCCAAGCCCGGTTTGGATGCCCAGTGCGGTGCGCTTCGGTGTCCCCGTCTGCGCTTCGGGGAGGTTTCTCATCCGGCAGCTCTGGGCCCCTTCATTGTGGCGTTTCCACTTTTGGCTACCGGCCCTCCTCCGCCCAGGGCCTTCTGGCACAGGGAGCAGCGACGGGCACTCCTGAACGCTGGGGCACGGAATTTCAACAGGGGCTCCCAGCGCAGAGCTCGCGGCTCGCGGCTGAGTAAGAAGACGGGACCCGAGGGCCTGTACATGGCTCGAGGAGAACCTATCCTGGGCTCTGGTGCACACACAGCATGCGTTCTGGGCTGGCTTGGGTTGGTCCGGGTAGGGGAGACCTGGCTGGGTCCGAGGCGCCGTCCAAACCTTCTGGCAGTGGGCCCGGCAGTCGCGGCGCCTTTGCTCACAGTGGCCACTTGGGGTCGCACTTTATGCCTGTTTGAGCCTCTCCGCGGCGGGCTGACGCCGGGATCTGCTTAATCGTTACAAAACGTTCAAACAAAAACAGGGCTGGCTCTCCAGCAGCGAAGAGCGACTCGGAGCACCGTCCCGGGCAGGCTTCGGCCCCAAGGCTCCGGGCGCTCAGGATTGTGGTGGGGGAAAGGAATTCAGAGCCCTTGGGCTGATTCTTTTCCCGTCCCCTTCCCCATGAGCATTGTTGGTGGTGGTGGTGGGGGGGTGCGTGAGCGCGGGGAGCTGCGGGGCCAGTGGAGTCGAATCTCAGGGCTTTGCCACTGCACCAGCCAGGAGGGGGATGGCCTTCGATTGGCCCAAGAAAGATCCCCCGAGGTTAAGAGTTGGGTCTGAACTTAACTCTTCGAGCCCTAAGCCCGCGCCCTCCCCAACACACAACACGCGCAGATCTCCAGAAACAAGAACGCACCGCACACACGGCCAGAAGCCACGAGGACACACAGAGCGTCGCCCACTGGGCGGGGGCCGCTTGGGAACAAAGGGCCCAGGAGGCGTTGTCCCGGTGCTCATTCTGAGCCTCCTTGGGGGTGACACGGGCTGGGGGTGGGGTGCAAAGGGAACTGAGGGAGGAGAGCGCGCGAGGAGGTGAAAGCAGTGGCTTGGCCTAGAGGTGGGGCGTGCACTCCAGGCGACCGTGCGGGGGCCAGGACCTGCAGGGTAGGGGGGTGAGCCCAGGCTTGCCGTCCCACTCCGCTCCAGCGCTCCGCCAGGCCTCCGCAGCTCCCGGGCAGCTCGGGCCGCCAGTCAGCTGACGCAGGGGGCGGGGGAGCTGTCAGGCGCGCCCCGCCCTGCGCCGCGGGTCCGCGGAGGCCGTGCAGCCATTGGCCCGCGCGCCGGGCCGCCCGGGCCCCCGCACCCCAGTGACATCAGGAAGGCGATAAAAGGCAGCGGCGCCGCCGATCCAACACAGCTGCACCGCCGAGCTGCGAGCGGCTGCGAGCGAGAGAGAGAGCGTAAGAGCAAGAGAGCTAGAGAGCGAGCAACGGGCACTCGCCCCACGCCTCCCCTCCGCCCCACCGCGCGCTCTGCTTGCCTCTCCACCCCACCCGACTAGACCCGGCCCGGTCCGGCGCGGGCACAGCCCCGAGCTCTGGGGCGGTGCTGGCAGCCTCGGGACTCTCCGGCGCGCCGCCGCGTCCCTAGACAAAGGCTTGGCCGGCGGCCCCGGCCCGCTGCGCCCTCGCTCCCCGCCTCCCCGGCTCGCTGCTCTTCGCCCCCGCGCTTGGCTCGGCGCGCTCCGGCCGGCCGCAAAGTTTCCCGGGCGGCAGCGGCGGCTGCGCCTCGCGTCAGCGATGGCCGCGGAGCTGAGCATGGGGCCAGAGCTGCCCACCAGCCCGCTGGCCATGGAGTATGTCAACGACTTCGACCTGCTCAAGTTCGACGTGAAGAAGGAGCCCATGGGGCGCGCGGAACGTCCGGGCAGGCCCTGCACGCGCCTGCAGCCAGCCGGCTCGGTGTCCTCCACACCGCTCAGTACGCCGTGTAGCTCCGTGCCCTCGTCGCCCAGCTTCAGCCCGACTGAACAGAAGACGCACCTCGAGGATCTGTACTGGATGGCGAGCAACTACCAGCAGATGAACCCCGAGGCGCTCAACCTGACGCCCGAGGACGCGGTGGAAGCCCTCATCGGCTCGCACCCAGTGCCACAGCCGCTGCAAAGCTTCGACGGCTTTCGCGGTGCTCACCACCACCACCATCACCACCACCCTCACCCGCACCACGCGTACCCGGGCGCTGGCGTGGCCCACGAGGAGCTGGGTCCGCACGCTCACCCGCACCATCACCACCATCACCAAGCGTCGCCGCCGCCGTCCAGCGCTGCCAGCCCGGCGCAACAGCTGCCCACTAGCCACCCCGGGCCTGGGCCGCACGCAACGGCCTCGGCGACGGCGGCAGGCGGCAACGGCAGCGTGGAGGACCGCTTCTCCGACGACCAGCTCGTGTCCATGTCCGTGCGCGAGCTGAACCGCCACCTGCGGGGCTTCACCAAGGACGAG